CATCCTGAATTCCTTGTCCCTCCCACTATCTGCCCCCAGGTCCCTGTACCCCAAACTTGATCACAGGATTCATCACACTTTGTTGTCTGCTCCCTTCTTAGGGAGCCCAGGAAGGAACTCCAGTGCACAGCCAGCACTGGATACAACTCTGGAGGAGCGTTTGGCTCTCAGGGATGGATCAGGCTTCCCTATGGAAGGACCCTGTACATTTAAGGACTTCTAAAGTCTTGGGGGCAGGTGGGAGGACTGAGGCCTGCAAATGGACACATTTCTCGGGTGTCACTTTATGAGCTCAACATTACTCTAGATACCAGCAGAGGCTCCTCAAGCAACCCTTCTCAAATGCTGTTGATGGATGTCTAAACTTACAGTTAAAGACCTTAAGTTCAGCCATGAGCAGGGAGATTGCCTATGTAGCTTTTTTTTTTTTTTTTACTTACATGGGATGGAAGACCTTGGTTCTTTAGCAGTGAGGATTGGGCATGCAGGTCAGAGATAGAGAAGAAAAACTCAAGACCAGAATTAGCCCATCTGGAGATGATCCACTATTTTATAGATTGTGTTTTATAGTATTTTAAGGTTTACAGAATCCATTAACTGTATTGAGCTCTTTTAATCCTCACAACATCATTACAAGAGGAACATATTAGCTTCATTTTATAGCTGAGATTCAGTAACTCACCAAGGTCATGGGATTTGACCCAGGACGCCAGCCCAGTTCTTCTGGCTCCAGGAGCTCTGTTCTTTATTGACACCAAACACACCGGCAAACAGAAGTTTGTTGGGAAAAAAAGATGAATGAATGACTTTCTCCCTAGCTACACACCACCAAGGATATAAAGATGAATAACATTCGGTCTCAAGGAAATTGAAAATTACTTCCTCTTTTCTCTCCTCATACTCACCCCCACAACCATAATCAAACAATAAAGGTTGGTTGGCACCTATTGTTGATTTTACAAGAATGGAGAGGCATTATTTTTCAGTGTCAACAGTACTGAAGAATAAACAAAAGAATGGGGTCTCCCAGAGTGCATTTCTAGGGCTCAAGGTATGACTCTTTTTGCAAAACACTTCATGGAAGCTCTAACTTTTAATTCATACCACCAAGGAGATATTTGATTGTTTCCTGAAAATGCTAATAACGCAAGGCTCATAAATACTAATGAAACACTATAGATTAGCAGAGCTCAGCAAGTAACCTGGGGGGCCTAGGAGAAAATTCTTAGATTAAAAAATAATAAAGACTACCTTTTAATCGAATTTTCCCCAGACTAGGTTCCCAAATGTTAATGAATACTCTGTTTGGCTGTATGGAGAGCAGACTCAACTAAGTATCCTTAGGAATCCAGAAGTGAATTATTGACTTAGCTTTAGCTTGAAAAGAACTCTATTTATTCAAAGGCTATTTTAGGTGCCAAGGGCTAGATGAGTTTGAGACAAAGGTTAGGAGGGGCAGAGGGCCTGGGACATTGAGATAAACACATAATTCAAATGCATGCTTCTAGTTCAACCAACTAAGCCACCTAAGTTGGAATTTGCTTATTATATTTGCCTTTTATGACACAATCTCTCAATAATAATAACTCTGGCAGGAATGTACACAACTCAGTGATATCAGAAACTATATCTTTGTCCTTCATTACTGAATCCTCAACACTTAACACAGCGTATGGCACATACTGGGTGCTCACAAAATGCTTGTTAAATAAAGAGTGCTCTTAAAACATTTTCCAGAGCTTTTCAGAACTTGTTATCTTTTCCTGGAGGGCAGCTCTAATTATAACATCCTTCTATTGGGCCTCCCCGGTGGCGCAGTGGGTTGAGTGCAGTGCTGTGAAGCTGTCCACAGCCCCTGCAGCATGGGTTCGATTCCTGGCTGGCCAGGGAGATATCCACATGGCACGGCAGACCTCTCCTGTCTCGCCCGCTGCTCCCCTCAGCAGTGTATTTCAGTCCATCTACCTGTTCTGCTCCCCGCTCTGTCTCTGGTGAATCCTCTCACCCTCCCGTGCCTCTGGCCTGTACCCCAGTTCTTGTATAAAAATAAATAAATCTTAAAAAAAATCCTCCTATTATAAAACCTCCAAATACACACACATCCTATAAACCTGTTTATCCTACCCTACCACAGGACCTACATTCCTTCCCTTCCCCACCCTGGACTCCAGGCTCATGTTCTCCTGCCCATGTTCTAGAAGTTTCTCTCACTAGAATGTTTGAATATATTTTTCACCCATGTTTCTCTGTCAAGATCCTAGTCATCTTCCTAGGTCTTCCTCACATAGCTCTTTTTCCATGAGAACTACCTAATATCTCCTCTCTCTTGCTCCCTAGTTCCAAGAGTGTGGCCCCAGTTACTTAGACTCCCTGCAGGGACCAGCTCCATCTCTGGCACAGAGGAGTTTGTCAACAAATGGGCTGTTTGTGGTGTCTGATTTGAATCCCAGAAATACAGCACAGGAACAGTTGGGAAGCTTATATTAGGATCAAATTAGAGAAAGCATCTAAAGTCTTCCACAGCAGAGCAATAACATCTCTCTAGCTGGGCCAAAAAACACTGAACCATCCAAAGCTGAGATCAAAGCAAAGGTCATGGCAAAGAGAGGAGGAAAATCCAAAGGACGACAAGTGGCGTGGAAAGAAGGCAGTTGAGTGGCCCATCTGAGGACTTGTAGGAATACCATGGGTGGGTTCTCTCTATAAAGAGCCTGCAGACTTGATGGTATGGAAGTAGGTCCACAACATGAGATGTTTCTGTACCCTCGGAGGGGCTGGGGCACAGCCTCCAGGAGGGCATGTGACTTCTCAGAATACTTTTTTGCAGCATGGTGAGCTTAAGTCAACAGCCATATGTTTTCTATAAACCTCCACTTGGGCAAGAGTGGGTTTTATTGTATGAATCTTCATGCATGTGTGAAGTATCTAACAATGGGAAGTCTCTGCAGTCTTTTTTTTTACAACAGACTGGGATAAATGTTTCAGTCAATCTGGGGACTAGCCAAGTGTTGTAAGATTCTGTAAATTTTGGCTACTTGCCAAAAATGGGTTAATTCCATACAAGGGAATAGGGAGCCCAGAGCAATACCTGTGAATGGCTCCCACCTCTTGTGAATCTGGAACAAGTTCCCTAGAATGAGCAAGTTCTACTCTGTCACTCTCATTTCTGTCCCTTTGACTGTAAGATGGAGGAATAACTGTACCTACTTCATAAGGTTTTAATGAAGATTAAATGAGTTAACAGGTTCAAAGTGCTAAGAATAGTGCCTGGTATATAAGTGCCATCTTATTGGCATGACTTCTGGCTCCATGGGCTAAATAGCACAGTCGTAGGTACCAATTTATATAATTGCATAAATTATAGAAGTGATGCCTGAGGGCATGGGGTCACATGCCAGCAGACCAAGACCAAGATCAGGTATGTCTTGGACACACACATGGGCATTAAATACATAGTTCGGTTACAGAAAGCATTACCTAAGGAACTAGACAGCCAAGGACAATCCCTGGAATACCATAGATAACACCCCCCAAGAGAGCCCACACATTTTTGCTCCAGTGCAGGACATCAGAATGAGGCCTGGTCTTCAGAATGATTCCTGACCCAAGGTCCCTTGCTTCCATGGACAGTGGACCTGTCGTTTACATAAAGATATATGTCATGTTAAAGTAGAAAAGTTTCACATGAAATACAAAATAATGTCATCCTTACTTCTGCTTGCCCAATACACTTGGGAGACCACTGGGCCCACTCTCCAGAGGTCTGGGTATTTATTATAGCTTGTTGTGTCTCAAACATGTCACCTCACCACACTGAGCCTGAGATTCATCTTTAAGTGAGAGAGTCGGTCTTGATCTCTAGGGTCTCCAGCCTGCATATCAGTGACTCTGATCTTTAGGTCCAGGGCAATGTCTTGCATCAAGAATGCTCTTCAACTCTCTTGAATCATGTTTATCTTCCAAGTCTCTTTTGGACACAAGAACCTGTCGATCCCAGAACTGAAGTAGCTTCTAAGAACTTATACTTGAGAGCTGATCCTTAAAATAATATATGGAGAGGTGTGGGAGGTGGAGGGTGTTAAAGAAAGAAGGCCTACTCTGCCCAAGCAACCAGACAGCTCCAGCTGTAAGCTGAGCTCAGGATGGGAGTAGGGGGCATCCAGAGACACCATCCCAGGCTCCAAGCACCATCACTGAGAAGCCTGCTAAGCTCCTTTCCCATTGTGAAGAAAGGGAATGAGCCGACGTAGAAAGTTGGGACTATTTGGATGAGAGACAAAAAGCAGAGAGAGAGGGTAGCAAGGGAGAGGAAAGCAGAAGCAGAGAAAACCAGCATGTGTTCCCCCAACCAAAGCACAATGCACAGTGGTATGTAAGGAGGGAGGAGACATGGAAGAGGGAAGAGTGCACGAAGCAAAAGACAGTAAGGAAGGCAGGAGAGGGACAGGATGAGGACTGATGACTTGTTCTTCCTTGGGGGAGTGCCAAGCCCCACACCTCAAGCAGCAAGACTTTGACATTCCATCTTGTGCTTAAGCTTTAATAAGCATTGACAATGGCATGGTGTGCTCATAGAAGGTCAAATACAGAATTCTCCTGTGGCAAGTGTATGTTCCTCAACTATCAGGCGAGTTGCAGTGAAGAAAAGATTGAGAACTGCTCTGGTGGTGAGTCCGGGGAGCTGACCAGGAACAGAACACTGAATACACACAGTAATCCACTTAGCCGATCATTGCTGAGCACCTACTATGTACCAGGCCTGATAGACTATTAACTTTTATCTCCTAAGCCCAATCCAGTACATATATAGCAAGCATTCGTTCATACTCATTGACTTCGTGCATGCATTTATCTTGCTTATTGAGTCTCAATGCAATTTCCATGAACTCTGGAAACTTCAATTCCCTCCCTTTCCTAAGCCTAAAATCTATGAGGTTATCAAAAAATTGTAGATCATCCCCACTGCATTCCTCTTGAGTCATCTGCTTTGCTCTCTCCAGGTGCTGTCAATGGCATGCCCAAACCTGAAGCTGGAAGAGGAATAGCTTACAAGTGGACAAGGCTGCACCTTCTTGATCTCAAAACTTACGAGCGAGGTGAGAGGTTCCTCTGGCCCCAAATTAGCCAACACCATGGAGAAAATCAGCACCTTCTTCAACTCCATCTGGGTTGTCATTTCAACCAAACACCAAGAGGGCCTCTACAACACCATCTGCCTGGGCATCCTCCTGGGGCTGCCTCTCCTGGTGGTCATCACACTCATCTTCATCTGTTGCCATTGCTGCTGGAACCGACCAGGCAAAAGCGGTCGACAGCCAGAGCGAAACAAGGGCAAGAAGAAAAAGAAGAAGAAAGCTGAAGAAGACCTCTGGATCTCTGCTCAGCCCAAGTTTCTCCAGCTGGAGAAGAGACCATCGCTGCCTGTCTAGTTAGGCAGGAAGCAGAGGTGTGCCCTCGGGAACGAAGCCGGCTTCCAGCTACACACAGGTTGGGGAGCAGGACCCTCAGGGACACACTCCTGTCCACAGAGGAACAGTTCAACCAGGGAACAAACCTCAGGACAAGTGTCCCCTGGAGAGTACTTCTGGGGACCACATGGACAATTTAAGGGCACTGACTAGGCAGCTGTGTGTCCGTTTGCAATACTCTTCCCAACAGACTCAGGCCTGCCTCCCGCCTATCTCTGGCATGCTCCATATGCAAAAGCACAAAGAACATTTATCCATACATCTTGATATGTCCCCCAAATGCACACATGTGTATACCATACACACACGTGCGCGCACACACACATGCACACACATACAAATTTGGGCAACAGGTACCTGGGAAATAGATTCTGTTCATCAAATGATCATCAAATATCTATTTTGTGCAAGGCCCTTGGCCAGGCTCTATATCATCTGGTCTTGTGAAAAGAAGTCTCATAGGAAGGCCTGGCCAGACGCAGGCACAAAGGCACAGTTACCTAGCAGGTCCCTCTGCACTGTCTATTCCATATACCACTCAGGTGAGAGATGTGTGCTTTCCCACCCCACCCTACATAACCTTTTACTGGAAATCCTCATATTTGGACATTCCAGCCACGTGGTACAGTCCCCATCCTGTACTCGGATACACACCAGGTTTCTGTGCTTCTGACCTCTCTCCTGAGAGGACCAGTAAAATGTAGCAGATCATCATTCATTGCAAATTCTAGTCTTACAACTCAAGACAAGGTCCTCATTGCCACTGAGAGGTATTTCGTGTGGCTCCAGACCTCCCTTTGAGGCACTACCCCCTGAATCACTTGGGAAGGCGCCTTCTCCAAGCAAGAGCACACGATCCCGGAAGGGACTGCTCACAAGCTGTGGGAACCAGGTGTGCTCCACTGACCTCAGGGACTGCTATTGCATGTACCTGTGCAAGGTGTGTTTTACAGATGAAAGGAGATGTGAAACCTGATCTGGGTATCTCCTCCATCACCAGTGGTATCCAAAAGGGAAGGACTCAAGTCACCGGTACAGCCTCACCAAAGGCACACTGGAGGTGATTCCATAAGCATGCAGTGGGTGCATGGTATGTCACGGACGGGATGCAGAGATGAGAGTTTAAATGAAAGGATAAAGCTATATATAGAGGCTTATTAATATTTATCTTGAAGCTCAGGCAAGTGCCTTGCACACCGTTGGTACTCATAACTGTCTGTGGATGCTGTTGGATATGTGATGATGAGGATATTAAGGGTAAACTTGGAATACCTCACCGATTCTCCCAAGTGACCTTTCTTCCAAGGAGCCCACTAATTGCTGCAACAGATGAAAGTTGAATTCGGCAGGATGGTGCATGCCGCTCCCAGGGGTGGGTTGATGGGCACCCTGAGATCCATGAGGGCTGCAGTGAGTTGAGGAATATGTTCCCCCGTAGGGCTGAGGTTAGGAGGCAGAGTTGGCCCATTTCTGTGATAAAGTGGTTGGCATTTTGTTATTGTGACCATATTACAAACATGTCTAATTTCCAGCTCAGAAGCAGGTTGTGCTCTAAGTTTATTTGCAAATCTGCTGGGTAGCTGTCTTGAAATAATTTCCCATGGAAGCTGTTCTAAATGGTGTGAGATAGTAATTTAATTAATTATGTAGCTAAACTCGATATTTATAGTAGCTAAAAAGGAAATTCTATAAGACCATATTCAGGGGGAGATGTACTCCATTTGCTTACTTGGGCTACCTGGTACTCACCTGACCCCAGGTGTATCCTAGGCCTGGAACAGGTGAGTGTCTAGTGACTGCTGCACTGGGGTCTTCTAACCAATGGTCCTATGAATCATATGTCAGGCCTGCCCATAGGGCTGAGTCATATTCACCAGTCACATTCACCCTCTCACCCTAAGAGGTCCCACATTCCCTGGGTACTCAGGTCCCCCGACTCATGAAGCCCTCTGACCTGAGATCCAAGCACCCTCTTATTCTCTATCTCCTTGTCACATGGAGAACATGGCAGAGAGCAGGTGGCTGCGCAAGTCACCCCATCAGGACGACTAGAGCCTCTCTACATCTACTGCTGCCCTTCCTGTCTCCAACTCGCGGTCCCCTAAAATGGATGACTTGGGGGAGATGTGGAGGCTGACGGCTAAAACTGGGTGTCAGGTATGATCTAGGGGAGCGGATCATCAGGATCAGGGACCGCACACATAACATGGTTGCCATGGCAACTGGCTGCTAGTTTGAATTAAGATAGCAGTCAGTTGCCATCGCCATGACAAGGCCTCTGTCTGGGGGGTGCAGTGTTCTGCTGGCTCCTGTTCGAATGGTGTTGCATTACCTCTGGGGGTGAATCACCCAGAAATGCTCTTGGTGGCTTCTATAGCTTAGGACCCAGGAGACCCATCCCTGCATGAGGCTTAACTCTCGATGCAACTCTCCTGACAACCTTCCTAGAGGACTGAGAACAGTACCCGGGGCATGCTAGATTCCCCGGTTTGTGCTGAATAAATGGGCATGTGGACGGAGCCCAGTTCAGGGTGTCCACTGCCTGTCCATTGTCTTTCCATTCCATTTCCACCTTTGTCAGGTTTTATTCTTGTCTGAGTCCCTTTGCTCCCACACCACTCTAGTCCCCTCCTTTTATTCCTCTCCATTTTCACTCCTTTCCAGCTTCTGTCCCAGAACAGCCACTGGCAACCAGAAACAACTGGGGACTGCAGCCTGCTGGGCCCATCTTAGGGGACTTAGGTAAAAGGAGGACACAAGAGAATGGTGAAGAAAAGGCTTCCTAAACCAGCACAGGTTTGGGGAGAGAGCTGAACAGCTTCAGCCACCAAAGTCAAGGAGATCTTGCCCCCACATGGCTCAAGGATTTGCTTTTTTATCTGGGGTGGGGGTGGGGGGGAAAGGGAAGATCTAGGGAAAAGGAGGTCACCTTTTCAAGAAGAATAAAAATGGTCAAAGTGGTATAGTATTTGTCAGTATTTCTTTTCTGTAAAATTCAAACACAAAAGGAAAATTTATTTAAATAAAGTTTTTTAGAAATAAAAAGCTATGCCTGGCTGGATTCAGAACTTATTTTCTTGATATTAGATGTAGCCTCTCCCAGACAACACTCATAACTGATGGCTGCAGTCTCTTTGCCCTCCCTGCTCTGCATCTCCAGGGCGAGGTGGAGGCTGAGGACCTGGACATCTCATACCCCTGGCAGAGCAGACACCTCGGAGACCAGGCACCCTCAGAGGTGCCAGCTGCAGAAAAAACACACTGATGTTCCTTGGCAACACTTAGAGAACATTCCCTTCAATGAGGTCAATCAATGTCTTCTTAAAGGAAGAAGGGGGAAATAGCAAAATCTAAGTAAAAATAGACTTCTGAGTGAGGTGCAGTGTTGGGAAGGAGAGACATCAAAACCTCTACAGAAGCTGCTAGAGAGATGGATGAATAGGGAGGTAGGTAGACAGAGGATTGATGGACAGATGAACAGATAGATAAGTGATTGATAGATAAAAGCTGATAGATGATAGACAGATGACTGATAGATAGACAGGTGATAGACGATGGTGGTGATAGGTGATAGACACCTTCATATACACATATGTGTGTCTGTATGAATGATTGCCTCTTTTCCTGTCCAGAATTCTGCACAGAGTATGGCATGCAATCATTTATATTCCTCCCTTGATGTTTCTAAACTGACCATTAAAGCAGAAACTGCCCAGAGCAGAATTAGCCAGTGGAACCAGGAATGATACAAATGTTCTAGAGCCACACTGTCCAACATGGTACCCATTAGTCACCTGTAGCTATTTAAGTTAATTGACATTAAATTAAATGAAGGGCCCAGTAGCAGTCACATTTAAATTTCTCAAAAGCCACCGATAGCTTGTGGTGGCCATCAAGGAGGGTATATGTCTAGAAGCTTTTTGGGGGGATGTGGTCAAGCACTTTAGCAAAACTGTGTCTGCTGCATGCCCACGAGGGCTCAGAAGGCAGGCCAAGACTCAGGCTCCCCTTCCAAATTTTCTAGCGCGGAGGTAGGAATGTGACCCGGAAACTTGAGGGGGTGCTGAGCTCGATGCCATCCTGCCCAGCCTTGGCCCTGACCGTGGTGGTGTAAATACAGAGTTGAAGAGCATTCTCTGCTTGCCAAGGCACTCTGCACTGGCCCCTTGCCCTTTGATCTTGGTATTACTCTCAAAATCAAAGCCACAGAATTACAAGACTGAAAAAGAAGTACCTTCAGCTGCTCAGCGTTCTGCCTCTGTCATGGGTTCAAAGAGCTGTTTTCAAATACTTTCCTTCCAGAACAACCGTGCATGCTTGAATCTAACTCTCTTGAGGTTAATTGATTCCATTAACACTTTTTTTTTAAAGATTCACCAATCTACACAAGAACTGGGGTACAGGCCAGATGTGCTGGAGGGTGAGAGGATTCACGAGAGACAGAGCAGGGAACAGACAGGCAGACTGACCGAAACACAATGCTGAGAGAAGCAGCAGAAGATACAGGAGAGGTCTGCCGCATCATGTGGGTATCTCCCTAGCCAGCCAGGATCTAACCCGCACCACAGAGGCTGCAGACAGCTTCACAGCACAGCACTCAATGACCTGCGCCACCAGGGAGGCCCAACTCTTTTGATTCTTTACCATAGGAAGTTCTCAAGCTCTTTATGCACCTGCAATACAAAGTTGTCCTGGAGGGATCACAGCTGGGTTGAGGAGACCAGACAAGCATATAGCCCATTATATTATGGTGTTGCTCCTGCTTCCTCAGAAGGAAGCTCCCCTCAGAGCAGTCTGTGGGGGAACCCCCCAGGAGCTGTCTAGAGGAGGAACGTGGGAAAGGAGGGCATCACTTGAAGAGCCTATGACCCAAAACAGCAGCCAGGATGGCGAGGCAGGATCGCAGCCTCAATGTGGAGGCCTAGGACTCGGAACTAGCATTGTCGAATGTTAAAGTCCACCTCCGCTGGTTACATAATTTAGACCCAAGACCATCCCTGTAATGACATACGTATCTGCAGAAGCACAAAGAAGGCCGCTACTTACCTCACAGGGCTCAGAGGATCAAGGGTGTTAATGCATATATAGCATCTAGCACAGGGCCTGGCTGACGGTACACGCTCAATGAACGTGGTGGTTATTATGGAGGACAGAATACAGGTCGTTGAGACTTGTGTCCTGGAAGTGAAAGGGGAGGAAACTTTCAGAAGGAAAGCAAGACCCTTAAGTCCAATGGCACAGCAGGGCCAGTGAGATCAGGAGTGAAAGTGACCTGCATTTTCTATCTTCTTGGTGTGATATGTTGTTCCCTGGTTTCACCACTCACTGTCTTGTCTGCATAGTATCCTTATTCCCAGTTTACAGTAAGTGACTGGCAAGGCCCATCCTGCCTTACTTCAGCCCCTCTGCCCGCAACCAAGCCACCCTGGGGTGACGGTGCCCCTGGTGGCCATATTAGGAGACTTTGCCTCAACAAAAGTTTGCAGGTTTCCCTTAGAACATCAACACTCTAGATGTCTGGTCTTCAAACTAAATGTGCTTAAAGACTCACTGGGCTTTCTTTATGGGATGATATTCGCAAACTTGACAGGGTGAAGATTGCTATGCTGAGTTAGTCTAAATCTTAATTGTTATTACAAACATAATTTTGGCCAAGTGCTCTGCATTTGCATTGCTGCCTACAGGAAAGTGCCCCTAACCACGAGTCTCCCCCCTTCTCAGCAAGAGCTGGCTGCACTGTCATTGTGTGTATTTCTGTATTCCCAGCACCCCACCCCCGTTCTCATCACTTCAGAATTAGCCTTCAAGAGGCCAGAATTATGACTGTCTTATTTACCACAACATCTCAGCTATCTAGCGTGGGGCCTGGTGCTCACTACATGCTAAATAAATTCACTGAAGCATGGATGGGGGAAAAGAAAGGGAAGAAAAATGACTGCAGTGTTTCTTTTTTTTCTTTTTTTTTCCTTTTACATATTTTTTACATCATTTTTCATTTTTCACAAGGTATGCATTTTCATCTTGGTTATAGTCCCGGTACAATTCCCACCCCCCTTGTTTTGATCCTACTCCCATCTCTCCCCCCCACCCCATAGTGTGTCTCTAGTATATAGTTGCTTGTTGCTTGTTGATTTTGATTTTTATTTTGTATTAATTCATCTTTTTCCTGGTCCCTTATTTAGGTTTTCTAAATTCCTGCTATGAGTGAGACCATCCAGTATTTTTCTTTTTCTTTCTGGCTTATTTCGCTGAGCATGATCCCTTCCAGCTCCATACATGTTGCTGCAAATTGCATGTGTTTATCTTTTCTGAATGCTGAGTAATATTCCATGGTGTATATGTACCACATCTTCTTGATCCAATCATCTATTTTTGGGCATTTGGGTTGCTTCCATAGCTTAGCTATTGTAAATAGTGCTGCTATAAACATAGGGGTGCAGGTGCCCTTTGGAATTAATGTTTCTGAGTCCTTTGGATAGATACCTAGGAGTGTTTCTTATAAGAGTGGCTTCCTTGTTCCCCTCTGCCCTTCTGGTAAATTTACTTAAATCTAGGGTGGGCCCAGACAATCTGCTCTCCTGACAAGCACTGGAGGTAAATGTCAGTGGTCTCTGAACCACACCGTGAGAAAAACTACCCAGATACTCAGAAAACAAAAGAATTCTATGGTCAAGTAAGTTTGCAAAATGTTGCGTACTCTGACTTCCCTACCCACCCCCTAAGACTTGTTAGAACATGAAAGGTTCTAACAAGTACTAAAATAAAGAAACTAATGCTACTCAGAGTTTTCCTAGGCTTATCCAACCATGGAAACTCTTTTTCTTTTAGCAAAGGTTCCAAGGAACACCATTTAGGACACTCTGCAAAGGCAGACACTCCACGCCTCAACTGATCCCTTTCACCGCTTACAGCTTGATTTGTATCATCCTCAAAGAAACGCTTCCTGCAGTGTACCCAGACTTTCCTTTCTCTTTACTAACCCTCTCACTCTGCCCTGTCTCTGTCTTCCACTTGTGAAAGACAATTGATGACTTTTCACAGCACACCCCTCAGAGCTGGCTGGAGATGCACCTCTCCCAAAGGCAGAGAAAAAGTTCATTCAAAAGTTTTCAATGAAGTTAGAGAAACTAAAGATTTTTTAAGACCCCTCTCTTACCATTGCAGAGAATTCCATCGTTCATAAAATCTCTTTCTTCATCTCAGCCATTTTGGCAGCAACCATGGAGAGAGAAAATCAGGAATTGATGTGAGTCTCACTTTACAAATGAAGAAAATAAGGCCCAGAAACCCGGGCCCAGAGTGGAAACCAGTGTTGGGCCTCCCACTCCACCCCCGCTTTGGCTCACCAGGCCTTGTGATGCAGGCCAGTGCCCTGGAGGGTGGGAGGGGGAGCTGCCTCAAAGAGGTTCACTAGCCAGAGCTCCTTCTGAGTCAGGGACCCAATGATCACAACTCAGAGCTCTGCTCACAAGACTTGAGGGTACCCAGGTGTCTCCTTGGAATGTTCCACAGCAAGTCTCATCTGCATCCTTATCCTTCTCTAATTAAATCTAATTTTCTTCACTTACAAAAATAAAGAGCTGCTTCATTCCATTCTGTTTCCTTCTTTTATCTTAATGACACACTGTGATATTGTTGTTTTCTATTGTGTCATTATAATAAGGCACCATGGCTTATCTGTATTACAGAATAAATAGGCTTCTATGGGCTAACCTGGGAACGCAGCTTCTTTATATAACACTGAAATTAGAACTCAACCCATGTCCTATTTCCCCATAGAAACAACAGAAGGACCTCGGGAAAGGGAATTCATTTGCACCTTAAGAACTACCCCAAATCCCTTCCAGGGGTGCCTCCTTCATCTTTCTTCATGCTGACCCCCTTCCCCCTTGTCTCACCACCCTACCCAGTAGATCAGGTAAGGGGAGAGAGCCCAGATCTCCCTGGGCAATCACTTCAAGCTATTTCCCAGTTATCTGTTTTGTACATTACGCCGCCCGCACAGCCACATGCATAGCCTGG